GTGGGGTGGCTTTTTGACTCTTCCCATTTTCTGGCATAGTTTGCTAGTAGAAAGAGCAGCAGGAAGATTGAGCTTCACTTCTGCCTTGAGATTTCACACAAGTACACCTCACTGGTGGGGCCTCATTTACCAGCTTTCTAGGGAGTGTGGGCATTCTTTAGTTCTAGTCTTCGGATTCTGCAGAGCCTCTAAATGGTAGATGGCACTCTAGAGGGCGAAAGTGGATTCTGATTGAACCTGTTGAGAGAATATGTATATCTCAACAATTCACAATTCCCAGTTTGCAAGTCCCAGGAATTTTATCCTGACATACTTCGCATTCGTAATTAATCATAATATACTTAGCTGTATTCAAATTAATATATTTAAGATCCTAAAAGAGTAGACTGTTAAACTTACTTTGAGCTTCTAAACTGAGTTCTTGGATTTGATAAGAGCGTTTGATTTGTAATTTTTCAGTTTGGTTTGATTTCCTCCTATGAGTTATGACATATGATGATTGTTCTTACTTTTTTTCCCTTTCAGTTTGTTTTTCAGACTGGCTCTTCTGCTAACTTTCCTCAAACCATTACCCTACCTCTAGAGTAGGAACATTATGGATTATAGGCATGCACCACTGTGTCCTACACTTTATATAATTTGTTCTAAATTTTTTTTGTTAAACATTCACTATGACCCTGACTGAGCTTGATTTGGCATTGTGGGGAGAGCTAAGTCATGGATTCTTCCATTGAGTGTCTGTTGGGATGGGGAACAAGTATATAGTAAAAATAATAAAATGATAATGGTCACTATCATATATAGCAGGCCAAGCAGATCTAGGAAAGAGAGATTTTTCATACTATGCTAAGAATGAGAGAGTTTTATACAGGGTGACCACAGTCCATTAATTCTCATTGGAGGCAGTACCATCTCTTTAAGGCATTTGAAAATGTGGCAGAGTATTTATTTTGTATTAGTGAGTGGAGGTCAAGCATTTAGAGGTCATAGCCAGGGTGCTAGATATCTTATAATACAAGAAACACTGCAGATAAATAACTGTCTTCCTCCAAGGGGCAGTCTCTTTGAGAACTACCAGTAGGACTTGATATAAGTGTAGAGTTTGGATATTTGGGTTTGGAGACTAGAAAGGTTTCAGGTCAAAGTGGGTAACATGAGCTGGAAGTTCAGGCTGAAAAAATGTGTGGCATTGCAAGAGAGGTTATACTGGCAATTGAAGGTTGCACATAGGTTGTGGGGAAGCTTGAGCTATTCAATGAAGCCATGAGTCTTAATGCTGTCGCCACTGGGAAGCCCCTTAAGAGACTGGAGCAGAATCCTCTAGCACATCAACCTACCCTTATCTTGTCCTGTACTATGCAGACATCACTAATGGTTTCTGAGAGATAATTGCCCCAGACAGGTTGTGATTCACAGGAAAGCTGGACTAAGCAGATACTTGGATTTTTGCCAGATTTAGGATCTTGGGAGAGGCTGGAAGTCACCATTTCAACTTTTGGAGAATACAACAAGGGGCAGGAGTTAGCCTGTCATCAAAGTGAAAACATGGTGGTCAGGCTGAAGCACTAATGTTACACTAAAGAAAGACACAATTGTCCTGAGAAGCTTGGGGTAAAGATAGATTCTTCCAGGAGTCTGCCTTGTGAAACCTAGAAGCCAGGAGATAAGCAGGGAGCATCCTGTGTTGTTTGAGTTAATGCTCTTGCATCTTGAGCTTATTATTAATTGCCAATCAAACCAGCAATTTGCTGACAAGGTTCATGCGCTGTGACCATGACTGCAGTTGTTTTGGGGGAGGGGCTTGCTGGTCTGCTTGGTGATGGCGGCCGCTCATTGTTCCTTGTGCTACTGTGGGGTTGTGGTGACCTTTCCATATGCTGGTCAGTCCTTCTTCTTTCTTTTTGGATGGCTTTGGAGGTTGGGAGGGGAAGCTCGGGGATGGCACTGACCAAGTATATTCAAATACAGCATGTGAGACATGGCCTTGTTAGTTTCTCTAGTTCTCATTTCTGGGATCTTCCCTGGGGAGAGAAAGGAATGTGCAGAAGTATATGTGGTTTGAGAATTCTCATTTTGTGGATGAAGAAACTGTGGTTAGGAGAAGGTGATTTGAACAGTGTCATATGATGACCTGTCCTTGGGCCCCCAAGGCATCTTTCTAGCAGTGCTTTACTTACACTCTGCTGTGGGGGAGAGAGGCCTTGGAACCAAGGGCTGGCATGTAGCTTCTTGTTCAGATACTCAACTATAACATTTGTGAAATGGGTGTTATGGTTATATCTGATAAACATTTAAAAAGGTGAAGTGTGTGAAGCTGTGTCAAAATAGAAATATAAAAATAGAAATACTTCTTAATTATGCTGTGGATGCTTATGGAGTGGTAATTGGTGAGACCAGACTTAGTGGAAGGGTGAAGATACTACTGATCACACACCAGAAGATACTACTGATCACACACCAGACACAGAATACTCCTAACGGGTTAAATATACATTGCATCGTGAAAAGAGCATGTGCTCATTAACTGCTTTGTTCTATATAGTGTCTTGTTGTGGTAGGTTTGGGTTTTTGCTTCAATTACTAACAAGGTAATCGAAGCTCAGATCACTCAGCTGGTTGGATGCAGGTATAGGCAGTATGGATATCCAGACTTGGGAGCAGTGGTTTTCTTTAAGACTATTTTTCTCCACCCTCAGCCATCCTGGTTGATGAATTCAGAGATAGCCCTGAGTTTCGAAGAGTCTAGAGACACACCTTAGGATTTTTCAAAGATGTGATGTAGAGAATTTGGGAAACAAAGTGTTTCTTTATTGTTGTCCAACTGTTTGTTCAGGCTGGACATGCACATTAGAGAAAGAGAGAGAAATGGGTCCCAGTGAGTCGCTGAGCAACTCCTTTCTCTGCACATAGCTACCTGCCTCTCCATGTGTGGACCAAGTCCAACTTACGGTCAGAGTGATCATAATACAGCATTTATTGTGGTATTGTGCTGATTTGTTAAACCAGTTAATTCTCATAAAAGCCTTTTAAGGGAGATAAATAATACTTCCCATTTTCTGGATGAGAAAACAGGTTTAGCGAGATTTAAATATCTTATTTGAGAGTACATGGGCCATAAATAGATTATAGTCCAAACTTTCTAATTCTGATCTCTTTCTCTTTTGCTACAATATGGGGAACATGGATTGCCTGTCTTACTAGTGTTGCAGGGCTGCGAGTTAAGGAGGTCTGTCTCAGACCTTGAGAATTATTGGAATCAGAGCTGAAAGGTACTTTGAAGAGCTGTTTGGCTTTTAAGCTGCCCTCCCTTTGACTGTTAAAACCTCCCAGGGTGACCTTGGGGTTAGGGTACCAAAAGAAATGAAAAAGTAGAGCAGGGAACAGGAAGGAGCTCTCAAGCCTGCTGAGCAGCTCTGCTTATACCTACTTTATCAGCAAAGCACCTCTAAGCAGTCACTTTAGAGAAAAATATTGCTGCAAAAAGAGTTTGAAAATCACTGCAGTAGCCCAACACCTCTTTTTATGAAGACTGTAAAACAAAGTGGCTTAACACTTAGCCACAAAGTGGTGAGATGTTGGTGGACTGAAGCTATTAGTCTGGATCCCCTTTAATTCTGACAGCTTGTTGGATGAACTTCCTTGGGCCCAAATCATCATTTTGATGGGACTGCCTTCTTTACTTTTTAAAGGAAATGTGTGATCTGCTTACCTTCCTCTGAGGCCTTCCGTGTCATGGCCTTCCGAGTCATGGAGATGCTGAGTAACTGCATAACTCTCAGGCTGCCTCATGCACAGGGTCCTTGATCTGCATCTCTCAACCCAGCTGTGGCCTCCCTTTTGACCCTGGCAACTTTGCATACAGTGCTTTAATTCTTGTACAGAAAAGAGTGAAATGATAGCTAGTTTTGTGTTATTTCTTGGCCCAACTACAAAGAGAGTCTTCCTACATACATGTACTTATTGAGTGTCTACTGTATACACAGTGCTGAGGGCAAAGGTGCTTGAGAGCACCTTGGTGGGAAGACAGAAATGAAAAACAATTTTTTAAAATATAGTAATGCCACATGTGGTTCTGGTGCATGTGAGTTATGTAAAGAGGATTTTATCTCAGAGAACTGAGAAGGGGTAGCATCTGGGCAATGGGAAAGATTTAAGTAAGACAGTATGTGGTGTAGGGCGTTTGGGTTTTAGTTAATCCTGGACTATTTACTATCACTGGGACTTATATGTTAATATTTTCTTTATGTTTCATATCATCATTTAACATGGAAATGAGACTGCCTACCTCATAGGGTTATTACTGTGATTAAATGAGATTATGTGTGTATGTATGCACACATATACTATAACCTCCTCATATAATACTAAGCACAGAGTAAACACTCATTGAATTACAGTTTTTTAGCCATGACGAGCCAAAGAACTTAGTTTTTAACTCTATCCATGGTGCAACCAGAGCTCTGGTTTTCAAAAAAAAAAAAAAAAAGGATTGTTTGCTTTTAGAAATAGAGCCCAGTCACTTAACAATTTGGCTTCATTTACTATTTATCTCCACCCATTTGCTTACCTCTCACTTGTGGTCTCCATGATCACTAAGCTTGACTCTACCTTGCAGTTTCCTGGATGTAACTATCTTCTCATTGCCTAGGTTAAAATCTTTCCTTTAGTCCTGAATTCCTTTCACTCCTTCACCACAATTTTCCTCTATTATGATCAGCCTCTTTCTTGTAATAAGATTGTGAACTCTTGGAAGTTGTAGTTCACACCCCTTTGCTGTGGCATTACTGAGATTCAAGTACATTCATCATAGTTGGTACTCACCCATCTATGGAATAAATTAATTTAGTGCCTTTCTCAAGTATTCAGCACAAGGAAAACAGATGATGAAAGGAAAACCGGAAAACAATCGGCGTTGAACTGTGTGCTATCAACCTTGGAAATGAATCTCTGGGGAGGATCAGGCTCCTTAACCAATGACAGAGATGACTTGACTCTTGCAGGGATTGAAGAGAATCCTGATAACACTCTTGTGTTGGGAGAGGGCTGAAGGAAGCCAGACCAGTACCTGCACTCGCTGAGTTCCTTGGGACCTCTTTGGCCAACCTTCTGGTATGTAAACAAGCCTCATCTGCTGTCTTACCTTACTGCCGGATTCCTGAATTCTGATGCCAGACTCTCAGGCTGAGCCTCTGTGAGCTGGGCTGAGAGATTTAATAGGTTGGAGATTACTATCGGTTTTTGTATCTGCAACTTGAAATATCTTGTGCCCTTGATTAATTCATGCTTGGGCGCTTCCTCAGTGCTCTCTGGAAAATAGCTCCTTTCCTGTACGTTTATTTCCCTATGGGCTTATTTCAGCAAGACTGGAGCCTGTGCTGCTAACAACTCCAAGGAAAACATCGAAGGTCACGTTTCCGGAACTGAGAATCTCAGGGGTTCTTCCAAACGTCCATCTCTATTACCTCCTTTGGCCCAGCATTTGCTTTTAGCTGAAAAGGGCAATTTTGTCTCGAGCCATCCGGTACACATGTGTGACTTGAGTTAGAAAATCTGACAGCTGCTCCTGGGCTTTGAACTGCAAGAATGAGCAGCATGTAGACATAACCCTTTCCAACCTCAATCATTGGTCTTTAATTCCCAGAGCCTTAACGTTTCTTTGTCTTGTGAGTGACCTCACTGCTTTTTGTGTTTGTAATGGAATGCACAGTCATTTGCAAGTAATCACACAATAATCCCTTACACTTTTAAAATGCCTTACCCTTTTCCAGGGGGCTTTCACTATCATTATCTCATTTGATCCTTATAACTGCTCTGAGAGGGAGGCGGAGCTGCTATCTTAATCCCTCATTTTCAGGTGTAGAAACTGAGGTTTAGAAAAGTCAAACAGCCAGAGGTCAAACAGTATGGAGTGGAATTGGAACTGCAATTTCAAGTAGACTAGTTCCTAGACCCAATTTGTGTGTGTGTGTGTGTGTGTGTGTGTGTGTGTGTGTGTTGTTTGTTTGTTTATTTTTCTGTCGTGGGTCCTGAACTCTAGGCCTGGCCTCTGTCCCTCAGCTCTTCAGCTCAAGGATAGCACTCTACTACTTGAGCCACAGCGCCACTTCTGGCTTTTTCTGCTTATGTGGTGCTGAGGAATCAAACCCAGGGTCTCATGCATGCAAAGCAAGCACTCTACCACTGAGCCACCTTCCCAGCCCTGTTTTTGCTTTTTAGTCTAGTCCTGGGGCTTGAACTCAGGGTTTGGGCACCATCCTTGAGCTTTAATGCTCAAAGCTAGAATTCTACCACTTGAGCCACTGCTTCACTTCTAGCTTTTTTTTTTAAAAGTTATTTTCTTTTTTTAGTTTATTGGAGATAAGAGTCTCATAGACACTTTCCTTCCTGGGCTGGCTTGGAACAGCGATCCTCAAATCTCAGTCTTCTGAGTAGCTAGCAACCATTGGTGCCTGTCAATCCAAATTCTTTTTATCTATTACTATTGGTGTGATTTTGGATATGTACTTAACTTCTCAGAGCCCAAGTTTTCCTATCAGCAAATTGGGCAATAATGTCACCTGAAAAGTGTGTGTCAGTCTGAATTCATTGAGACTATCTGGAAAAGCATTTAATATATAAAGCGCATATGTAATGTAAGGATCATTGTTTTTATTACATTGACTTTGAATTCAAATAGTGCATCAGAACCTGGAAAGAAAAAGACACTCCTTTTTCCCTTTATTTTTTGTGCTAGTAATGGGACTTGAACTTAAGGTCTTGCTTGCTTCGTTTGCTCTGTATTGGCACTCTACCACTTGAACCACACCTCCATTTCTCCACTTCTGGCTTTTTGCTGGTTAATTAGAGGTAAGAGTCTCATGGACTTTATTGCTCACCTGGCTTGGAACTGTGATCCTCTTATCTCAGTCTCCTTAGTAGCTAGGATTACAGGCATAAGCTACCTTTGCAGGGCACTTTTCTTTCTTTTTTTAAAGGAAAAAAAAAAAAACGATAAGGTTCCCATGGGTGTTAGAGTTGTCAGCGATCCCCAGTTTCTAGTCCTGTGATTAGTAATTGACACAACTGCTCTGAGTTGTTATTTTGAGAATTGTGTTGATAAGACTGCTTTTCTTTGAGATCTCTCAGTGTTCTTTGGAATAGTGTCCTGTGGACTGTTGTATTTCTGGCAGGAATGGAATCTAGTCCTGCCAAGGAGTGAGATCTCATCTCTTGAGATTCATCCACAAAGCATGGGAATGTTACATGAACAGTGAAGTAGAGGTGTGTGAAAAACAGGTCTTAAAGGTCAATCTTTCCTAGTTTCTCAATGAGCTAAAGAATTCCCTCCTCCTGGATTTAAAAGGCTATGTCTTGTGAATCTACATGGCCAGCAGTACATATGCTGAGTCAGTTGCTTAGCAGTAACACCTCAGAAAACCCATGAAAAAAATGGATTCCAATTTGGCAACAAATGCATGAGCAGTCAGCAATGTGATATGATCAGAAGAACAGCGGGGGTGATGGAGGGCTGAGGTCTGGGATAGCTTTGTTTCTGTATACATATTCACCTACAAAAATTCCAAACCAATGAGACAGGCATTGGTTGACATATGGTCCAAAGAAGCAGAACGAAGAGCAGGAGGTTGAAGGCCAGGCAGCCAGATTTTGGTTCCATATAAGGAAGAACTGTGTGGTGGAAAGATGGAGTTAGCAGCTGTAGAAGATAATGATCTCTGACTTTTGGGATGTTATGGGTAGGATTTATAAGCAGTTAGGCCTTGGGCCAGAGGTGCTCTGTAGCCATGATGAAGAGAGTCACACATATATGAAGGAAATGGAAGGTCCCTTCGTGGATGTGGAAACTGACCTCTAAAATGCTCTTAGCAAAATAAAACATAAAGGTGAGTCCTTCATTCTGGTGTTTGAATCTCTCCCCATGCCCACTCCTCGCATTCTCAGTCTGTCCCAAGGCAGCCATTTTCTCAGAGGATCTCTCTGTCTTTCTTCTGCTGAAATACTTCTGTTGGGAAATTGGCAGGAAGTCCATGAGGTTCATCCTCTTATTCTCTTCTGATCTAACTTCTAGACCCCTGGGAAGGGAGGCAGCGGTAAGAACACCGTCCTGAGTTCTGTGTTCTAGTATGTGGTATTAGCTCCTTTGATCCTGTTTCCTTAATTATTTTAACCATCACACATATCTGTGTTCATTTATTAAACATGCCCTAAAAATCTGTTTGTGCCATACTCATTAAAATATAAAATAAGACATCAAAGTCAGTATGAGGTGACAGTTTGGATAGAACAAGTAGAAACTGCTTCTAGGGCACCTAGTTGGGTAGATTTGGGCTGGATACTCAATATGTGGATGAGAACTATGTAAATTCCAAGAGGAGAGCTGGCTTGTACCACATGAGTAATGGACCTGAGGTGAGCATTTGCACCCATCACTCCTTGCCCAGGGCTGTTGTGGGTAGCTTAAGTTCTTCCTGAGGTGAGGATAAACAGCTTGCTAAGCAGGCCAAGTGTCAGAAAGTGGGGGACGGTTCTGAAAAAGGTTCTTGACATCCACAGTGAAGAGTAGAACTGGATTCCAATAAGACAGAGAATGAGAACCACTGGGAAGCCTCAGTGTGGTAGTTCAACTCCCTTCTCCGAGCATCCACTCTGCCTTCCTCTTCCTCCATGCTCTGCTCACCTCTGGTTTTATTCAAGCCTGGAATTGAAGATGAACAGCTCAACTTCAACAAGTCCAGAGAGGTCCCACAGCCTAAGAGTGTCAGGGCTTGTGGATAGAGGGGGATTATTTTAGAAACTGTCTATCCTGAACAAGATTTTTCAGCAACTGGCTTAGGTTACACCACTCAAAATTCTCTTTTCCCCTTTAATATATTGTCCTGTTGTTTTATCGGGTTATGGATGCTCCCATTTCTAAGGTGAACTTTAAAGCTCTGAAATCAATTACTTCCTTGATAGTAGGGGCAGCTTTCTGTGGTAGAATGGTGTGGAATAGTTGAGACTCCTCTGTGGGGGTTAATAATTCACCCCCTGTAAGGAATTCTGTCTTCAGTGGGGCATATTCTTCAAGTGCCAGAGGAGAGAGAGAAGGGGTGATTTTTCTGACATCTTCCAGTGTGCTTCTCCATATTTGGAAATGTTTACCCACCACAGTGATCTATTGGAACTGAAGGACATGACTCAGGGTTTAGGAGAAGCAGGATTTGAATTCTTGTTTCCAGAAACAAGTTGTCCCCCCCTCCCCCCGCCCCGTGCCCTTCCCCCCCTCCATTCCTCTGCCCCTTGTTCTGGAAGTAGAGGAGAGAATGTCTCAGTTCTGTGCTCTTTGGGCTTTGGGACCACCTCCTTGCTGTGTTCTGTTCTGGACTTGGGAGTGAGAGAGAGTGAGGGAGAGTGCAAGGCCAGCTGCTTTGGGGGGCCTAACCTCCTCACGTGAGTATATCATTATTGCCACAGAGAATAGCATTTCTGTCTGGGACTCACTTGCATGGTTATTGGGAGATATTTCTGGGAATGGTGGCTCCTTTCATTTGGGGTGTGGACAGCCACTTTTCCAGGGGAGTACTTCTCATAATAATGTCTAGAAATGTCTAGATGTGCCTGAGGGGCATACAAATTCTATTTGTATATGAAAACACTGTTAAGATATTTCCTCCCACCTGAGTGAGACTTCACTTGGGTTGGGAAGAGAGATATTTTGGGACAGGATCTGTGCAATTGCTAGAGCTAAAACAACAAGCCCAGAGAGATGTTTGTGGTCACTCGGGAGAGGTGATTTTGCCTTGCAGAGTTATGACTAGACTTAAGAAAAGATATGCTGGTCTTTGCCATTTGTGTGGCATGTGTGATAGGAATAAATTTGTTGGATGAGGGGCATGGTATAGATTTGCTGGTTTGTCAAATTGGAAGGAGTGAGAGATTATTCATCTGTTTTATTTTATAGCATGATAAGGAACAGAGGGCCAGGGAGTGGGAATAATTCAGGATTAGAATCCAAAGCTCTCTCAGTTCATTCTCCTTCCAATAGATTCTAGGTGCTTTGCATGAAAGGTGGAGGGGGATTCTAACTCTACAAGACACACACACATACAATACACCACACACCACCACACACA